GCTTTGGGAACTGGCTCTGGGGCCGGTCCGGAGGTGGAGCCACGGGGACCAGGAAGGGCGCTCCGTAGCCCACCTGAGCGCCCGGGCCCCGGCCCTGGTCCCTGCCCGTGCCGGTACTTTTCCGCTTGGGGCCGGGGCGAGCCCTCTGACCCCAGGAAGCGCCTGCGGGGCCTCTGCTGGGGGCGGGATGGGGAGAGAGAATTCCGGAGGCGCTGGGGGCCGCCGCCGGCTCGCCCACTCTGCGGCTGGGGAGGGCCTGCGTCCCGCCGGGAGAGGGGAGGAGCGGAGCGGCAATTCGTGAGGTAGAGGAGATCATTCACGCTGGAGCCTTGCCTCAGTCCGCACACCTGTGTGGTGGGAGCACTCAGGTGCGGGATTCGGGGATGCTGGCAGGCCGGCTCAGGTAGGTTCCAGGTTCTGCTTCCTCCCGAGGCCTGGTGGAGGCCCCTGCTGTCCCCGTGGGGTGGCTAGACCAAGGGGCGGCCCAATTCCCATACAGGTCTGACGGCAATCACTTGTCTGGTCAGTACCTGCTTTCCCATCACCCACACCCCTTTTCCCCGCGGGGGCAGACCCTCATCTACTTGAGAGTGTTGGGATGTGAGGGGAATCCAGGTGATGTGCTCTTAATGAGGGCTGGGCAGCTTCTGGCCATGTGTGGACACAGCATAGGAGAGTAGTCAAGCTTGCCCCAACTTAAGCAGAGCAGCCCTAGCTAAGTTTACTATTACGTATACTAGGCTTCCACATAAGATTTTATTTTTTTTTAATAGAGGATTCTGTGGCTTTAAAAAAAGTTTGAAAACCGCTGGTCTAACAGTTTTTACCACCAAGGAAACTGAGGCCCAGACAGAGGAAGTGACTTGTATAAGATCACACAGCAAATACTAGCTGAGCAGGAACTAGTAATCAAAATTTCTTGGGAGCCTCCCAGTGCCTGTAACAGGACCTGGCTGGAGTCTTTGATGGAAAGAGAGATCTGATTAGATTTTCCAGTGGCCCTCAGTGGCTTGCTCTGTGGTTGTGTGGGAACCAGACCTCCAGTGCCTGGAAAACAGCAGCCCAACCTGAGGTAGGTGCAGTTCAGGTGCAGTGGGGTAACCATCTGTGTTGGGAAAGTCTGAGACTGGAGAAATGGGCTCTGCCCAAGAACAACAGTCAGAACGAGCACCCACATCTCTCTCTGGTCAATCCTGGAGCTCAGGTCCATGTGAGACCCATCACTAGGGGACAGAAATACAGCAAGCCTCAGAGTTTAAGACCACTGGGACTCAGAGGGTGAGTCAGAATCTAAGATGGGGGTGGGGAGAAGCCCATTCATTCACTGTTCTCAGCTCCTGCTCTTTGTGTGTGTGGGTTGGGGGGGGTCCTTCCTGTGTCCTGGATGATAAGACAGAACTGTCTGCAGGTCTTTGTGGCTCTCAAAGCCATAAGGATACCTTACTATGGCTGAGGGCGCTAGGTAGAAGATTGGTAGGCTCTCTTTCTTGGAGTCTGTTTAGTTGTGCCTGAAGCCTGCTTTCTTTCTGAGTGCTGCAAGGTAATTAGATAGTTGGTTAATCATCTTTAACACCAAGCAGCTGCAGCTCCATCTACAGTGTGCTGGAATCTGGGCTAGACCCAGATGAATTCAGCCTTAGATTTGAAGGCCCATAGCACTGTGGTCAGTGTCTCTTTACATGACATCTGGATCCAAGAGGCAGCTGTGTGGCAAGAAGTGGAGAAGATCTCAGCTACTTGGAAGGCTGAAGCATGAGGATCACAAGTATAAAGCCGGCCTTGGCAACTTCACAAGATTCTGTCTCAAAAAATAAAATAGGCTAGGGATATAGCTCAGTGGTAGAGTATATTTGGGTTCAATCCCTAGTATACCCCCCCTCCCAGGTCGGGGGAGGAAGAGACCCAGTTCCCATATGGCTGTGCCCCCTGGGCCCCATATCCTTTTATTTTTATGTAAATTTTATTTTTAGTTTTAGAGATTGAACACAGAGGTACTTTACCCCTGAGACACATCCCCAGTCCTTTCTCTTTTTAAATATTTTGAGATAGTTTCTGGCTAAATTGTTGAGGCTCACCTCAAATTTGTGATTCTCTTGCCTCAGCCCCCTGAGTTGCTGGGATTACAGGCATGTGCCACTGAGCCTGGCCCCACATTCTTTTAAATGGGGCCTCAGGGTCCCTCCACTCCCAGGGACTGGGACATGCTTCAGCTGCCCAAAGCTTAATGGAGCTGTGGCTCCCAGGCTTATCATGGAGCCCTGTGGGCTCTGCCCATCAGGGGTGTGGAGAAGCTGCATTGTAGATGTCTCCTGCCATCAGCTGTCAGGTTATTTTGGTGTAAACTGAAAATACTCCAGGAATTATGTGGAGTCGTCCCCCC